ATGTAACGATTCTTATGAATCTTTCTATCTTGAGTCGCCTAGAACCTCCGGAAGGCCCTTGTATCAGCCCCGACCTCGACCTGGCCCCAACTCTGCCTAGCCCCCTGCTGTTACCCCTATTCCCTTATGTATTTAGTTGCACCTTGCCCCTATAGCTAGCTTAGTAGTTTTCTAATATCCTTTGTACAAGGCCTATAGGTGTTAATAGAAATTCCTAGGTTCTAAGTCCCCACGCACTCCCATATGCCTCTAAGTGGATTCCCACCGCATTTAGACCCATTGCCTTCCCTGTGCCGTTACATTATACTTCTATAATAGATAGAGTAAACTAGCAACAACATTATACAGTGTTATTCTAATAAATAGTTAAATATTCTTAAATGTTTTAGGTAATACGTCTCTGTAAGCCTTACGCTAATGTAGATGTTAATTAGCATACTATTCTTTGTCTATATAGAGTCTAAATCTTCTCTCTAGGTTAGCAGCATTATTATAGTACTTCTGCTCCTGCTCTCTAAAGGCGTGGTAGACGTATCGTGCTGTTAGATAACCTCTATTAGCGGCTTCGCGGAAGACCTGTAAGCTAATAGTGGCCTTAACTGCAGAGAACTATGTTGTAGTTTAGGTTAAGATATTACCTTAATAAAGCTATTTATACACATAAGTTGTTACATTATAGTTATAGCTGTTGTTAACAGCTACTACATCTAGAATAAAAGTCTTAACATGTTTATAATTAGCCTTTTACGCCTCTTAAAAGAAAAAAAAAGACAGTTGTTTTAACTAGAGACTTATATTGTTTAATAAGCTCTAAAAGATTATAAAGTAACATAACTACTACTATATTACACTACTTCTTGTTCTTCTTTAAAGCTTTAAGCTTTTTAACTATAGCGCTCTCTCTATTAAGAATTGTACTTTATAGCTTACTAACTCTTTTAAATTTATAGTAATGTAAGTTAACATTCTTATTAGTACTATTAAAGCTATGTGTAACTAGCATGTTAAAAGCTTCTATTTTCTTAAAAATAAACTTTACTGCCTTAGCTTATAATTTAGTTAGTTTAACATTAGTAATAATAAGCAGAACTTTAACTACTTTAATTTTATATAAGTAGGCAAGAGCTATAAGAAAAGATACATTGTCTACATTTTATTTAATGTTAGTAAAGATAATTATTTTGCTAGCTTTTATCTACTATTCTTTAGGCTAGGATTCTTTAATTCTTAAATAATTACTTTAGCATAAGTAGGTACCTTTTTAAAGAGATACTTTTTAATCCTATAATTTATTATTTTCTAGAGAGAGGGTAATATAATTGCTTCTACAATTGCTCTACATGTTTCTTTAGTAGCGATTGCAAGAGTAAATATTCCTTAGTTAAATTTTATACAGGTTAGAAAACTTAGTTAAGCTTCTAAGGTCTTTATTTTATCTAGAATTTTCCTACCTTTAGTTAGAGGTAGGCCTTAAGCAACCTCTAGTTAATTATTATTGTCTAATTTTAGAAAAATGTTAGCGCGCTGCTAAGAGCTTACACTATGCTATTTAGATTTTTTAATCTTAATAAGGCATTTTAGAAGAAATTATTTAAACAAAAAACAAAGAAGCTTTAACTTAGAATAGTAAAGATAGAAAGCATTCTAAAAAGACAGATAACGTACTTTATAGGCAAGTTGCTTATACACCTAAGTTACTTACTTTTACTAAGACTCTACTAAACTACTTTTCTTACACTAATGCATTCCTAACAACACTACTTAGATATGCTAAAAACATGTTAGATATAGCTTATACTCTAAGCTTTTAAATAAAATATAAAACTTTTAAAGAAATATGCTACAGCTATATATAAAGTCTTTTAAAAATAATAAATAACTATAGTGCTAGATAACCTTTATAAGCTAATACTATAGCTAACTTATAAAAGCTAAGTAATAATAAAAAGTAGGTAATTATTAAAACTATACTTAAGCTATATGCGCAAGGATTTTCTTTTTAGATAACGTACCTAACGGGTTGGCCGGCCACACAGGTTGGCTGGCCACTTTTGCTAAGCCCCTACTAAAACCACCCTATTCTAGCGCAAAACAGCCTACTTTAGCCCTATATAAAGCAATATAACATAAGATATTATTTAAAGTCTACTTCTACTACTTTCTTACACATATATAAGTTATGCCTAGTCTAATTACACTACTTACATTACTTTTAACTTAGCTTACCTTTTTTAGCGCGCACTTACATCTTTAGCTTCTTTCTATTACTACGCGCTTTAAACTCCTTTAAAGCAGTTAAACAAGCCTTATTTTTAACTATTAAAGTTTTTTTTACTTAAATTTGCTTTTTTTTATATAATTTATATTATATAGCAGCCTTATTTACTGCTTAAAGCTTTATAATCTCCTTTTACACTAACACTAGCCTATGTGTAATAATTACTGCCTTTTTTAAAACTTTTTTAAAGGCCTTTACTATAGATATTAGTAAGCTATTTATATAGTTTTAAATTTTTACTTTTATAAGCATTAATTATAACCTAAATTTAAGAGTATTATTTAGGGTTTATAACTACTAGGGCTTGTTATTAATAAGTAGTAATAGTAATAAAGTATATAACTAGATATTAAAAGCTATTTTAACTTATTTTAAGTTAAATAGAACTAAACTAGCGCTTTAAAACCTTTCTTAGATATTACTAAAAGTAATTACTATATTATAAGCGCGTATAAAGCATAGTAGAAACTTAAGTTTTATAATATAAGTAATTTAGTTACACATAAAATCTTTAGCTTAGCACTTATATACTTTTTTTAAAAAGGTAAAACAACCTATATTAAGAGGCTATAAAAGGTGTAATAAGTGTAAAAGCATATAAATAGTAATAATTTTATTTTTTTATAGTACTACTAAAAATTAAGCAAGCTATAGCTTTTATAGTTATTAATAATAAAAAGCTAATAAACACTTATAACTTTTCTTTTTATATGCTTATTAAAGTGCTTTAACTACTACAGCCTAAGCTTATTTATTATCTAGCTATTTTTAGAGACTATAATAACTTAGTTCTAAAGTAGATTTTTTTTATACTAGGTAAAAAAGTAATAGCAGCTTTTAAAAATAATAAAAAGTAAAATAGCCTACTTTATTATATTAATACTTTAGATAACTATTATCTACTTTTTATTACTTTACTATATTACTTTTAGCTACTTTTATTTTTTTAAAGCTATAATAACTGCTTTAGTTAATATCTAGCTTATTATAAAGCTTAACTTATTAAAGTTATACATATCTTTATTCTAGATACTATACTTAGCTTTTATATTAGCTACTAAGTAAAACTAGCTTAAAATAACTTTTAAATTTTTATAAAGCACTCTTTTATAATTATACTTATAATTAAACTTTATTATAAACTTAAAGCAGTGCTTAACTTACATACTAGGCTAGTTTAAGCTAACCTAGCCTAGATTACGCTCTGCGTGTAAGGAATTAGCTATATTAGCTATAGCTATAAGCCTAAAGGGAAATCTATATATAATAAGCTTAAGTATGTACTTAACAACTACCTTCTTTTTAAGCTTAGTTAAATTCTTTAATTTAAGCTAGCATTTTACTTATAAAGGCTGTCTAGCGTGTTAATTACTTAGTATTATATAAAAAATATTATAAATAGCTACAGCATATTATAAAAAAAGTTTTAAGTCTTATTTAAAAGCCTAAAAAGCAAGCTATATCTAATGTTCTTTAGAAAATTTAATCTAGTATTGTTGTTAAGGCATTATGTAAATAGGTAGAGTGTAGTAGAGGCTTAGCAAAAGTAGCTAGCTAACCTGTGTCGCTAGCTAACCTGTTAGGTTTGTTAGTATTTATAGCTAATATAGCTAATTTTTTACACACTAAGTATAATCTAAGCTATATTAGCATAAACTAGCCTAGTACATTTATAAAGTGTTATTTAAAGCTTAAAGTAAAGTTTTAAGTGTAAGTATAGTTAATAGATATTTAGCTTATAATAAAGCTTATTTTACTAAAGTTATACATATTATTATTTTAAATGCTATACTAAGCTTTAATATTCTCTATAAGGCTAAACTTACTTTAAATTACTTTAAAACTTTTATAAAAAGCTTTTTTATAGTTATAGTACACTTAAATATTACTTTAAGCTCTAGATAACACTTTTTAAATATACTAAGCTAGTTTATAATAATATAGCTTAGATTATACTTAGCATGTAAAGAATTAGCTATATTAGCTATAAATACTATTTAAAAGAAAATTTTTTACATATATAACTTAAGTATAGTCTTAATAATTACTTACTTTTTATTATTACTTAGCCTTTATAAGTTAGCTATAGAATTAGCTTATAAAGGTTGTCTAGTAGTATAGTTATTTATTATCTTTTAAAAGACTTTATACATAGCTATAGTATGTTTCTTTAAGAGTTTTATATTTTATTTAAAAGCTTAGAGTGTAAGCTGTATCTAATATTTTTTTAGCATGTTTAAGTAGTGTTGTTAAGAATACATTAGTGTAAAAAAAGTAGTTTAATAAGGTCTTAGTAAAAGTAAGCAACTTAGGTGTGTAAGCAACTTGCCTGTAAAGTACATTATATATTATTTTTAACTAGGGCCTAGAAATAGTCTACTCCTCTAGTGTGAACTAGCCTAGTTCTAGGCCATCCCAACTTGACCTAAAACTAGGATGCTCACGCTGAACAGATTTAACTCAAGTCTGCCTCGCATTATTCAGTGTCTAGGCATCTGCAATACAGCCTTCGTTATTAATCATGCAGCAATAAGCACTTTCAGCAGTTACTTGCCTATCTCAGAGCGCTAGCTACCTAGGCCAAAGCCACAATTTATGCGTTGTCACGATAGCTTAGTAGTTTCCAATGGCTAAGTTAGACAAGTCATCTAACACCTATGCTCGCATACCTACTAACAGTAAGATCATTGCTTCTCTTAAGCATTGCATTTGTTGTTGCGAGCTAATCAAACATAACGGAAACAATACCGGCGATGACAAAGAGGGAAAAGAAAGTCTGAAAGTAGGCCACTAAGGGCATTACATTAAATTGAGTTTTGCTCTACATAGAGATAATCTACGTCAACTTGCTAAATTACCCAACTTGCCTCACTGTGTGGCGAGACAAATGAGGGGTACTTTAACTTCCAGCAACCGGAAAGCTCATGCGCACAACAAATATTGCTATAATTTTACAAAAATAATCTGCCGTAGCTAATTCTGAATGTCTATAATCCACTTTGCCCAAAAATTACGTTCGCATCATCGCCTCCGCGCTTGATTTGTATAACGTACTTCATGGGCGAGTTGCTCACACACCCGAGTCGCTCACTTTTGCCAAGACCCCACCAAACCACCCTTCCTACACTAATGCATTCCCCACAACACCACTTAGACGCGCTAAAAGAACGTTAGATACAGCTTACGCTCTAAGCTTTTAAATAAGACATAAAACTCTTAAAAAAATGTGCTATAGCTATGTGCAAAGTCCTGTAAAAGACAATAAATAACTATAGCGCTAGACAACCTTTATAAGCTAATTCTACAGCTAAATTACAAAGGCTAGGCAATAAAAAGAAGCAGGTGATTGTTAAGACTATACTTAAGCTATATGCGCAAGGAATTTCCTCTTAGATAGCATTTGTGGCTAATATAGCTAATTCTTTGCGCGCTAAGCGTAATCTAGGCTATGTTTGCATAAACTAGCCTAGTACGTTTGTGAAGCGTTATTTAGAGCTTAAAGTAAAGTTTTAAGCGCAAGTATAGTTAAGAGATATCTAGCTAATTATAAACCCTGTCTTGCTAAAGTTGTACGTGTTATCATCCTAGATGCTATACTTAGCTTTAATATTCTCCACAAGGCTAAACCTGCCCTAAATTACCCTAGGACTCTTGCAGAGGGCTCTCTTATAGTTGTACTTACGCTTAAACGTTACTTTAAGCTCTAAATAACGCTTCACAAACGTACTAGGCTAGTTTATGCAAACATAGCCTAGATTATGCTTAGCGCGCAAAGAATTAGCTATATTAGCCACAAATGCTATCTAAGGGGAAATTCCTCACGCATATAGCTTAAGTATAGTCTTAATAATCACCTGCTCCTTTTTATTGCCTAGCCTCTATAATTTAGCTATAGAATTAGCTTGTAAAGGTTGTCTAGCGCTATAGTTATTTGTTGTTTTTTACAGGACCTTGTACATAGCTATAGCACATTTCTTTAAGAGTTTTATGTCTTATTTAAAAGCTTAGAGCGTAAGCTGTATCTAACGTTCTTTTAGCGCGTCTAAGTGGTGTTGTGGGGAATGCATTGGTGTAGGAAGGGTGGTTTGGTGGGGTCTTGGCAAAAGTGAGCGACTCGGGTGTGTGAGCAACTCGCCCATGAAGTACGTTAGCGCCTTGTGTCGTGGCATAACAGGCTTTCCCCCCCTACAGCGCTAACCTCAAGCGTTTTTCGCTCCGATTTTTTGTGGGATAGCCTTATCCTAGCCGCACAACCTCCCTCCAATACCAGGAAGTCATCATCAGCCCTATGCGCGCTGCGGGGCGCAATTTTATGCAGCGCCGCCCCTTCGATTGGTACTTCCAGCGGAAGCGAACCACCGATCCGGGCGATTTGGATTTGCAGACCCCTCATCGATCCCCTGGCTATTCGCACTCCCTCTCTTCGCCGTATTCCAGTCATCACTAACCGCCAATTTCTCTAACACCGACTTTAGGAACCCACCCCAGAAACCGTCCGGCCCCTCGTCAAGGCCATATTCTACGACGTTCCGCCACATCCTCAGCTGTTTGAAGACGCCTGACACACTACTCGTTGCAGCATTGCCAAATTCCAGGATGCGTACCGCTTCGCCTTCCTTAGATTCCAGATATGCGATATAAAAATACAGCTTGTGTCCCACAACGGTGAAGCCGGGCTCCACGAGGCAGGTAGTGTCAGGCAGGCCCGCGCGTCGTCCCAGCTTCGCCTTCTTGCGCAGACTCGCCGCCATCCATATGCTAAGCTGATATTCGGCCTCAAGCTTGTCGCCGTCAGAGGGCTTAACCTCAATGCCGGAGAAGACGGCCGTGGTCTTGGTGAAGGCGTCGGTCGTATGGCTGACGCACTTATTTCCATGCTGAAGAAGGCGGGCGTAGAGAGATTCGAAAGGCGATGCGTCGTGCGAGTAGGAGAGGGTGTAACCGGCTTTTCGGTCAAGGGCGCGCTGCTTGCCAGATGCATCAGCGGTGCGCGAGAGGAACTCGAGGTCGATATTCTGGGATTTCCTGCCATATCAAACGCGTGAGGTTGTCAGTGTTTTTAAACCAAGCAGGTGGGGTAGAAGTACACGCTCTGAACACAGAGTTTGCCCTTGGCGTACAACCGGAGCGCCAGCCTCACCATCGGCCTGACCACATCGTCGCACCATGCATTCTCGTCGCGGCCCCTTGTCTGGCAATGAAGCGCCTTCTTGAATATCATCTTCACCTTCTTCAGTGTGTATTCTAAGTCGGCACGGACGACAGGGTCTAGGTCAGGGTCAGAGAGATCGCGTGTAGCAGTCTTACTAAAGGCGGCAGGCTTAAACGTTTGGAAGCCGATGTCTGTATCAGCCTTGATTGCCTTCTGTGACAGGTTAGCCAGCTCTAGTGGTAGATGGCTACATGCTGATACACACCTCGAGCCACCCGGGTATCCAGCCCTCATCCAGCCCGTCCTCAAGTCGCGCTACCACGGCCATCACCCGCGCAGGAGGTTCCGGCTCCACCCCGTCTAGTGGTTCCGTCGTGATTGGAGGCGATGCAACTCTAAGCGCAGCAATTGTCTCACGCGATGGGCTATTTCCGCGTCGAGGCGTTGAAGCGCCTACGCGGCTGCTGGGTGGGCTGAAGGTGTTGAAATTTCCCAAGGTGAGCGGGCGGGCATTCGATCCGACGGCCGATGCGCTCTGCCCTGGAAGCAAGTCATCTGTATTCCGCCGCTGACGCTTGCTAGGGCTGACATCGCGATGCGCGGATATGGCGGTGGGCTGGTATACGGCTGTGGGCTCTGAGTTCGCGCGCTTGCGCTTCAGCTCTTCGTCGGCGGGTGGCGTCGGGGGGAGCTGTTCGAGCCAGGAGGAGATTCGTGTGGTCTTTTCAGTGAGGATAGAGGGTGATACGGGCGGGGATGTGGCCATAATAATGTGTGGAGCAATAGGAGCGGTAGGGGATCGAGACAATATTTTGGTGTTGTTTATTTCACGATGGCTCATGAGTTCCCCGCCAAGAACGTTGCCGAGTTGGAAGGAGCATTCCCGTGGCCGTTAGAACCTCTCACAAGCATATGCTCGAATCTAGCCTAAGTCCTATTCCACTGGCCTTGCTAGCTTAAAGTATAACTAAGAAGTATCCTCTTGTACCGGTAGTAGATCACGTGATTAGGCCAGCCGTGGGTACCCCGCGAGATAACGACGAGCTAATACTAACTAGGAAGTGGGGGCTTTTCTTTCTCCACCTGCTTGATGAGGCATTAGGATACTACTAAAGCGCAACGAGCTCAAATATCTAGAAAATTTGCTCGGCCTATAGTCTTTACATGTCTATCCACAGCTTGACAAATTTTGGACGAGATGCACAAACTCTCTAGTAGATCCGAGGCTGTCCGAAGTGATGCTGTGGTAGGTGCCCGCAGCGAAATATAGTGTTACTGGGTAAGTAGGAGTTTTCTGTAGAAGAAATGAAGCAAAAGACAAAGCTTAGGGTTCAAGGTGTCTATTCCTAGATATTTTAGGCTAGTTGATCGTTGTTGGCTTTTTTATGATGAAAAGCACTGGCGGTGTCTAGCCACGCAGTGAGTCTCGCTAAACAGTGACGGACGTTATTTAACGTTAAGTTACTATTTTCTCGAACTTGCCCTGATTCATGAATTCCTACGGCTCACCATTCTCGACTACTTCCTTGTGGGGCGGCGTCATTATCTTATTTAAAATACGGTCATACACAATTGCTAGAGTCAGCATAGTCCCTCCCTATACAGTAATTATAGTGATGGTGATTTTAGCTGTTACTAAGAAGTGGCGATCCTGCATAGTTAGGACACTAACAACTGTTGTAAGTAAACTAATAAGAGAGTGTAACAGTCCTAGCCTTGTAAGTCTATTAGCAACATTAATTGTGTTAGCTAGCTTACTTACAAGAAGATACAAGTAATTATCTAAACGTAATTTCTCCGCCACCTCCACTATAACTAGAATGTCCCTGCAGTTCTAATAAGACATAAAAGACTAGCAAGAGGCAGTAGTTAAACCTTGCAGACAGTTTCTTAAATAATCTGTTCCTCTTTACTTCCTTTAAGGCTATCTAAGCTCTAAAGTAAGGTAAATAAATTAGGAAAAACAACGTATCTAGTAAGCGTAAGCTAAGCAAAGAAGCTAGCACAGATGTTATATTGCTGTTAAGTTTAATTAGCCTTAATTAGCATTACTGTGTATGGCGTTTGCATTAGTGGTGCCTTATGCAGCGCTTTATTAGAGCTGTGAAACTTAATTAGCAAAGATTAATCTTAAGCATTTTTAGTGTTAAAAGTATCTATTTTATTTATAATAGGTTTTTAACACTTAAGGCAGTTTAGGAAACTTAAGTTGTCTTTAATACTCTACAAGGGCCCGTTTCTAGGCTGTGTGACTAATAGCAATTCCATGGCCCGAAAGTGGGCCATGTTGCTATTACGGCTATAGTGCGCTTCCCCTTTTTAGTGATTTATTCTTGATCTAATTTACTACAGTAGATTACTCACCTTCTGTAAACAACAGTCATGTCGAAAATGATACAATACCGCTAGCGCTTGAGAACGTACTCAGAATGTAACCTGGCACGCCACCCACTCTTGCGGGCTCCATAATCACCGTTGCCTGCTATGAAGCTTTTAGAATATGCTCAGCCACTGCATGAATGAGGCTTCATATTCCTTTTGCCTTTGCCTGGCACAGCTAAGATTAAGAGCAAGGCAGTATTCAGAGATGCCATCACCAGAATGATCAAATGACCTATGAAGAGGTACTATTCAGGACTCCAGTGGCTTGGGATCCAAACCTGAATCCTTGCTGGAAGTAAAGCGTGGCAATCATTCAGTCGCTTCCAAGCAATCTACGGCCTGGTACTGTCCATAATGAACTGGCCTAGTTCTGGGCCATGCCACCGTGACCCTGCCTCTTACCATAGCCACATCATGGGCCCACTGATGTATCTCCAAGGCTGTCTTCCACGTCTTCCATGTTCCCTCCGGCCGCCTCTACTTGTGACGCACCAAGACTACGTATATAAACGAGAAGTCATTCCATCCCCTAAAGCATCTTTCATCCTAACTTCCTAAGAATCCTCCACCTAGGCTTTAACCTCTAGTTTTCGTTCCCTTGTCATCTATATATTCAAGCTTACGATATGGCTACGTTTTAGTCTACAGAATGCTCTTCTTCCAAACTTCATTATGACACAGCTACTAATACAGAAATCATAGCTTAGTGATTGCTCTAATCCACCTTCAACAATTCTAGAATTAATCTACTTAGGAAAGTACAGCAACATAGTTATCTCTATTTGCTGTCAAGCAGTGGTTAAATATAGACCTGGAGTTAAAATTAAGGAATATACGAATCTCTAACAGGCCCATTAACTGCTTAATCTATCTATAGTGCGCGTACCGCGGCTATACCGCTTCTTCTAGGACGGCGCCTTCGGATACCTATTTATAGAATACATGAAAGGACCGTAATAGAAGAAATTACAAGCGATTCTTATGTTACTAAAGTTAGCCAAGCCCTCTCACATTTCTCTTCCTTCTAAAGCCACTAGCCTGGCCCTCTTAGTGCTGGTATTTCACGTGGCTTACTATAGAATGAGGGCACCAACGACAGAATACTCGCTATACAGCTCTACTAAGAAGCTTAAGCATTAGTTGAATTAGTAAATTAAGTACAATAATCTTAGCCTGTTATTTAAAGAGTGTAGCTTTATATTATACTACCTAGGCATTGCACCCTAAAACATCCTTTAGTTACGCGGAGATTTATTATATGTATTGTTAATTAGGCCTCTGCGGGATACTATCCACGAATCTTTAAGTAGTGTCTATTAGATATTCTCTATGGTAAGGATGGCGCCTTCTAAGAGTTAGTTAAGAAAATAATAGAACCGTTAACCGCTTAGGAAAGGGGGAATTGGCAGCTAGTTGAGAAGGCCTGGGGTAATAGCGTCTGATTGTACTTGTACGTTCTTTTGTAATTTGGCCTGTTATTTTATCCTAATACGAATATAGTCCACCCACTCCGCCTGCCGAAGATGGCCCTGTACGACAGCGTTAGTGGGTGGACGTTAGAACGGAGAGTCATCTAGATAACAGGCATATATTTTTGTTCAGTTATGCTCTTAGCTTGATGAGCTTCTTTTAATTAGGCTCACAATCGCGTTGTGAAGGTACACCGGTGCATTGGTCGCGTAGCGTAGATTAAGGAACGTGTAGCGTAGATTAAGGAACGTTAAACGTAGATGCAGCGCGATTTACATGCTGGATTTGATTTTGATCAAGCAATGCGTGGAAGGGGTGAGACATCTTAGTGTATATATAGAAGTTCAGTGGTAGCACAACGACCAGTACCTAAGGTCTAGTATAGGGTTGATTATACGTCACATTCACTTCGAAGAAGATCCAACCGTCCGATCGAGGTTTGAGTAGATTAACAGTGTACAATTCGTGCAAAATTTTGGATCCTATTCCTATTATATTTTCCATTCCCTCACTAGCATATCAATAGTCTGGGCTTTCTGTACAGCTTGTATCCGAGACTGCCGTGCCGCTTCCTGTAGCCTGTTGAATTTGCTGAAGTCCGTCTCCATTACACATATTAGTAAACTGGAATAAGAAGGAAGGAAGACTACATACCGTTGGGATGTCGCCAGTTGCAATCTGTGTACATAATGTGCGGCTAAATTCCAAACTCTGTTCCATGGTGGCCATGCTCTCGTGATATTCAGCCTGAATCTTGCACTGCTTGAGCTCTTGTTTTAGCGCTGTTACTTTAATTGAGATTTCTGTTTCTTTTCAGTTTCGCTCTTTAACTTGGTACTTTAACAGTGCTAAATTGTTGTTGACGGCAGCCTTATTCCAAATATCCCTCATGCGTTGAGAGTACAATTGGCAATAGAACCCTTGAGGTGCATCAACAGGGAAGCCAAACATGGACGCAAGGTCTGATCCGCTCTCAATGCGTGGCTTGGTTGCGTCCTCGTAGCACTCTCCACACACCGCAAAGCCCGGAATCCGTGGTATGTGTAGCACTTGCCATAAGCAAGCTCATTCCCCACGCATTCCGCATTGTGAGCAAACCGAGAGACCGTCCTTGAGAAATTTTCCGGGTCTGCAGCCGTTTCACTCGCCAGCGCATCCCATTCCGCAGCCATAAGGCGACTAATGTAAAGGCTTGATCGGCGCGAAAGTCCTGGCAGGATATCGCAGCTGCCAGCGCAAGGAGACGAGGATACGGATATGAATGGCCTAGCCTTTGCCACGGACAGTAACAGTTTGTAGATGCTGGTGACGCAGAGGGAGCAAATTGTGAATTGATCCATTAAGTTTCCGAGATCGTCCGGGTTGCGGATGCTATACCACAATCGCGTTACCTCCACCTTATCCGGCCGTACAGAAGAGACATTGACGCCATTAGGACATGGACTATCTGGTCTGGAGACATTGGCAACAATGGCGAGAAGGGCAAGGGTGGATATGTCTTGAGATTGTAGGATCCAACACCATGCCTGTTGAACCTAGAAACGGCTGAAATCGCATTGAGTGGCAAACAGACTTGGATCTTTCCTAACAAAGTAGCTTGAGTATTTAGTGTGTTGTATTGATGTGCTGAAGCATGACGGGCAAATGTCGAAGCCCTGAAACTGGGTGTTGGCGAACGTGATCCAGTCGCTTTGCCCTTCAGATCCCTGGGCTCGTGGACAAGGCACAAAGTGAGGCAGCAGCTGGACGCGCTAGACCCATTTCAGTACAGAGGAAATAGTAAATGATTGAACCAGTTGAATCGTCCTGGCATAACCGAGGCCTGGCCAATCGTAGGAAGCCTTTCGCTCGCATGCGCCACACGATCAGCCTCGTGTCAGCCTAATTGAGGAGACTGCCCAGCCCCTTCTCTTGAAAAGACAACGCAACAACATTAGCTCCTGCTAACCGCTGCACACCATGATGGAGGCGCTTGTGGCCATCGGGCTCGTCAGCAATATTGTCCAGATTATTGACTTCAGCAGCAAGTTGCTTTCCAATTATAGGGAGCTCTACCGGTCCAGCGTAGGCGCCTTTGCGGCGAATGTCGACATTGAGGCTGCAGCAACTCGCCTGGTGCTACTCAACAACAGGATCGAAGATTCCACAACTACCACTAGCGATGATGCGCTGAAGCGACTTTGCGAATCGTGCAGCTCAACTGCCGACGAACTTCTTGCCGCGCTAGATACAGTAAAGGCTGAGGGCAGGAAAGACAAATGGGAAAGCATTGGGAAGGCTCTGCGGAGCGTGTGGGCCAAGGAACAAATCGCTGCGCTAGAAGAACGATTAGCAAGTTCAGGCACGAGCTTAATCTGCATATAATTGTGGATCTTAGGTATGCGAGAAAGCTGTTAGACAACGACTGCACTAATACATACATTTCAAAGGGAGGAAGTTTCAAAACTCACGCTGGCTCATCTGAAACGTTACAATCATCTTGATATGGCGACTCGAGGGATACTTGATGCTATTCTAAAGCACCAAGATGTGTTTGAAGCAGTATATGAGACACAGGCTGCTACGATAAGAGCATCGCATAACGAAGTCGTATCAAGACTCGAAACCGAACACACGACTGCTCGCCTCGAGGTGATTAGAGAAACGGCATTGATCATTGAAGACGAGCATGTGAGGACTCGCAATGTACTCCAGGAAATACAAGTGAGTTCTCTCCTCTGCCTTTGTCAGTACAGGAAAGCTCCATAACTTTGAGCAAAGACTGATGGAGCTTTCACAGCTTATCCTGCAGCATATACTGGTACCTTTGACCATACTGTTGGCTCTGGTGTCACGACTCTGGTACGTTCTGCAGATTAATGTACTCTAATCGATTAGAAGTGCTTCTAGCCAGCAAATATACGATGTTTTACTGGAGATGAGATCCACACGCTTTGTAGATACACGGTGGAGATTTTTCCAAAGGCCCCGCACGAGATATGCAGGCCAACGCCCGGCAGAGCGGGGCCCGGATGTACAAAAGCCAAAACGACTCTGCAATGGCTGAGGAAGCAACATGTGATTGGTTAATACTAAGCGAACAATCCAGTATTGGTCATGGACGTAGATCAGGATGCGTGTTGAGAGGACGAACATCTAGGCATCCGAGCCAGTTCTGTGTAGGCAACCATACAGTCAGCGAGCGCCCATACACCTACTCGCCCAAGTCTTATTATAGACTCCATACGACGCAAGCCATGCAAGTGGAGAACCTGCCCAATGAACTCAGATTAGCCACACTACATGATGATACCAAATGCACTGCCAAGTGACTGACATAAGGCTGCCAGAGGATCGGCGGTAGATGACAAACTAAACTAAACAATGGCAATCTTATCCTTCTTCTCCATTGTCCCGTCGAGACTTTCGAATACGACAGTCGAGATATCCGCAAGCCTCTCATATTTCCCATCTTCCCTTTCGACGACAATATCTTAGTAACAGGTGTAGAGAGCAGGAGTGATGTCTATAAACGAGATTTTTCACCCTGTTTGTGTCAATGCCTTAAGCTTCCTGGCCAGTGAAATGGTTGCCTTACCCTTCATGGGCATGGTAACGCTTCTGATGAGTGGTGAAGCATGATTGTTTTGTAAGGGAAAATCTTAAGAATGCTATAATCATCAATCGCATCATATATTTCTCAGATGCGCAAGACCAGTGACTCATCTTAGCAACGGACGCGAGTCAAACTATGTACCCATGAATTCACTTCCGATGCTGTCTGAAACCGCAGTACTCGAAGATGAGAGTACTGTGTTTCTTTCAGGGCCGCAGGAAATTCCTCCCTCTGCTTCGAATGCGTCCCAATCATGTACAAGAAAAGGTTCTCATCCTTATCCAACGTAAACTGCTTTGCAAGCGTCTCCCGATTCCCATTCCATAGTTTCCTCCGAAAGACAATGCGGCCAAGGGTGCGGCAGAATAACCTCCACAATGTGAACAGCAGGCCGTAATCAAGCCATATCAGCGTGTCGGCTCGGCCCCAGGCTATCTCCCGGACAACTTTGTAGTTGCCATCGGCGATCCAGTGGCCGTTAACGGGGAGAGCATCGGCAACGCGTTGTCGCATCATGGGTGCGTTGAGCTGGGTCCAGTCGGGCTGCCAATGGATGGCGTCAATCTCGACGTGTTTCAGCGAAAGAATCTGGGCGAGCTGCCTACTGAGTGTTGTCTTTCCGGAGCCGGGTTTGCCAACAATGACGATTCTTTGGTAATCCATTCTGGGTGGGGGTGGAGATGAACGGCAGATCGGTGTTGGGATGTCCACTTGATTGATTGATTGATTGATTGATTGATTGATTCCTACACGGTTGCAGCTACGATCTCTCCGCAGCTATGCCTGGTTAGGCGGGCTTGGCGGACAGCCGACGCGTCCCGGATCATTGCTGATCCGCTCCGCCCCGCTTCATCCTGCAAAAACAAGACCAGCTGTCCCCAAGGACCTGCCTCTTCTCCCTCAACCATTATCTACATCCGATATATGGCCCACGGATCCCCAAGGTTCCGTAACCCTAATTTCCTTATTCCGTTTAGCGCGCCGCCTAAGCGAGGAGAGAACGGATGGAATCCGTCACCCATCCCGTGCCTAGACTCTATTATAATAGTGGGCAAACTTTTAGGTTTTAACCTAAACTTGCCCCCGCTAGTGTTTTTTTTACAAAAATGTCCAGGTGTGGTGGTGTTTTGTTGCAACCCTAACTGCGCGGTGGATTTTGATTTTCCTGCGCGCAGGCATCGCGCGCACAGGGCTCTGCGGGTTTGCCGCACCAGCTACCAGCGCCGCCCGCAGACCACCAACCTCAGCGACCATAACGACGACCACGACCGCTAACACAACACAGTTCTCCACTTCCTAGCTGTGCTCAGGGCATCAATGCTCTAGCGCAGCGACGGCGCAGTTGATTTTATTATTCCTTTTGCACTAAAACGCGCACAGGCACTGCATCTCGCGCAGCAGCGACAAGCCCGCGCTCGCAGACCACGACTACAACCACGACTACCACGACAACCACCAACACAATAGGTTTCTCCATCTTCTAGCTGTGCCTAGGACATTAATACCTTAGCCTAGCAACTGCGCAGTAGATTTTGATTTCCCTTTGCAGCAACACGAACACAGACTCTGCAGTTCGCACAGCATCTACCAGTCACCGACTGCAGACCACGACTACGACCACAAACGACTACAACTACCACCTCCTCCTCAACAGGTTTCTCTAATTTCTGGCCGTGCTTAGGGCATCAATACTTTAGCCTAGCGACAGTGCAGTTGATTTAGACTTTTCCTTTGCGGGGACGCGCGCACAAGGTCTGCGTTTCGCGCAGCAGCTACAAGCCCCGGCTGTCGACCACGACTACAACTACCACCATCACCGCAACTACGACTACCAACACCACCACCACTACCACCACTACCAGCGCAGCAGGTTTCCCCACTTCCTAGCTCTGCTTAGGGCATCGACACTTTAGCCCAGCGACTGTGCAGTTGATTGTAAGTTTTCCTTTGCGGGTATGCGCGCACTGGCTCTGCTGTTGGCGCAGCAGCTACCAGCCCTGGCTGTCGACCACAACTGCAACTACCACCATCACCGCAACTACAACTACCACTATCACCACCACCACTACTAACGCAATAGGTTTCTCCACTTCCTAGCTGTGTTCAGGGCATTAATGCCCTAGCCTAGCGACTGCGCAATTGATTTGATTTTCCTTTACGGGGATGCGCACACAGGCTCTGCAGTTCCGCGGTAGACCACGACTACAACCACAACCACCGCCACCTCAACAGGTTTCTCTCCTTTCTAGCCGTGCTTAAGGTATTAACACCCTAGCCTAGCAATTGCGCGGTTGATTTAGATTTTTCCTTTTTAGGGACGCGCGCACAAGGTCTGCATTTCGCGTAGCAGCTACCATCCACGGGTGTCGACCACGACGACTACTGTCGCACGTGTCTCACGCGATATCATACCCATGTACTGCACTATTCACTCATTAGGCATAGCTCCTATCTCGTACAGTATATAGTCAGCTCAGAGCTCTATCGAGCTCCTCAGACCTTACAATACACTCGTTCAATCCACTTTGTTTGGATCTCACTACCTTGTCGACTCGCTTCCCATATGACCCCTCCTCAGCTCATGCAAGAGTTTGAGCTAGAGGACGCGCTGCTTAACGTGCTGGCGTCATTTATCTTTAAGCTGGTAGGCGATCAGTCGTTTAGCAGCGGGTTTGTCCACTTTCTGGCCGTGCTCGGCATCGATGCCCCGGCCCAGCGACTGCGCAGGGCGAAACACTACTCATACATGCTCGCCGGCGTAGCATACTGCATACGCGTGTTGGGCGTTGAGAAGCTGCTTCCGTCAGCTAAGCGCAGCAAGCAGACTAACAAGGACTGTAAGCGCTTCCTAGCTAAGAGAGTAAAGTATCTAGCTAACAGTTTGTACAGTCTAATAAGCTAAGTAATTAGCTTGCTAGCGTATAGAAAGCATGTTGCGTTAACAGACAGCAACTTAGGCAGCGCGTACTAGTCTAAGGACAAGAAGATCTTCTACTTAAACAGCTAACCCATCTACATTAGCTAGTTCTGCAAGATGGCTTAGGACATAGTAGTTAAAGTAGAGAAGATGTTGTAGCAGGAGCTAATATAGCTTAAAGAGGCTAAAGAGCGGTTTGCTATTAATCTAGCACACGTAGTAGACAAAGTCACATTTACGCAGCAAGGCTAGTAGTTTGCAAAGCGGCGCGAGAACAGTCTAGCAGACAAGCTATACTAGATGCTAACCTAGGTTAAGCAAAGCGCGCAAGGCTGTAAGCTAAAGCATTACAGAAAGTAGCTTATTAAGCAAGTTAAGTAGTACTTGTGTTAAGTTAACTGCTTTTTAATGCTGCTCTTAGTGTGCGTGCACATAACGTCTAGACAGCTAGGTTAAGGGCTAGAGATCTTATTAATAAGGTTTTATAACAGGCTGCCGCAGGACCGCAATATCTTTATAGCAGACAGCTAAATTATAACTGTTGTCTGCTATTACAAGTCTTAGTTGCAGTAGGATAGACTAAAGGTGGTTCTATGTTTTCTTTTGCTGCGGCTAGGGCAGGTTATAGCTATCTACTTAGTATACTTGCAGCTGTTCTAGGAGTATCTCTAGGTGCAGGTGCTTAGCAAAGGACGCACTAACTACATCTAGGTAAATAAGCAAAAGCTGTAGTTAACAGACTAGCTAACATAAGCGCTAAAGTAAAAGATAGGCAAGAGACTAGGCGTTAAGCTATACACATAAGACTACTAGTACATACTTGTTAGCATTAGACAAGTTACAGTTAGGCACTTATTTAGTAAAAAGTATTAAAATAATGTTAAAAAGATTAAAGAAGCTAAGGTAAATAAAAAAAGTAAAGACTTAGTAAAGCTATAAAACTTATAGATAACAGTTATAGGTTTAGTAAACTATAGTGTGCTAATTAACATTATTAAGCATTTTAGCTTACACTTTATTAAAGCGTTTTAACTTTTTAGCATAATGTAGCACTGCTTCTTAGAGCTTAATAGTAGGTTTAGAGCAGTGCAGCAAGGGAAAGAAGTAAAAAAGAGACGCAAGAAGAAAAAGAAAGAGAATAAAAGAGAATTAGGCTATTATAAAATAAAGTAAATATAAAAGTAAAACATTAGCAGCAAGAGTAGAAAGAAAAAGCTAGAACTACAGCCTTAGAGGATTTGTGTACAAAATAATTAAGATAAAGCTATTAAAAAGGTAATACAGCAGGTAGTTAGGCAACAGAAGATTAGCTTTTAGTCTATAAAGCAAAAGTAAGCATTACATGCTGTATGTAACAGTTAGACGCCACTTGTAGTTGTGCTTCTAACAGGCAGAGGTAAGAGCTTGCTGTTTACTATGCTAGCGTGCATAAACAATGCTAGCGTTACTATAGTTATTATTTTATATTAAGAGCTTATTAACAACACAGTAGACTGTATGTAGAAGTATAGAATTAACTATATTAAGTAGAAGTATAGTAAGACTAACCTAGCTACTGTAGTTATAGTTAGCGCTAACACTATAAGTAATATTATAAGCAAAGGGAACTTCTTAGAGTACGCAACTATGCTAAGCACAAAGAGGATGCTGCAGCAGGTAGTAGTAGACAAGTGTTATCTTATCTTTATAGCAAGCCACTAGTAGCAGAAGCTAGCAAAACTAAAGAATCTACAGTTGCTACTGTGCCTAATAGTACTGCTTGCAGCAACGCTTCTACTATTACAAGAGTGTAAACTAGAGGCTAGCATGCTAGTTTAGTGTACAACGTACGTGCGCGCTAGCACTGTCTAGCTAAACATACAATACTTTGTGTTATAGTGTTAAGCTAGTAAGCTAGAGAAGATAGCACTTACAGTAGGCTTACAGAAGCAGTTATTGTTACTTACAACAGAAAAGAAGGGCGCAGTGTACTACTGCAGCAAGAAACAGTGTTAGAGGATAGTAGAAAAGCTTAGATATAAATACTATCACGCTAACATCTCTAATTATGCTAAGCAGGTAAAGCAGTAGCTTAGCTCTAGTAGGCTAATTATAGCTACGTTAGCGCTAAGGACAGGGGTTAATTACCCTAGAGTAGTGTATATACTACATGTAGGGATGCTATAGAGCATAATTAACTTTGTGTAAGAGAGCAGGCGTAGAGAGTAAAGTAAGAAGAAGGTTAACTTAGTTATTATTATAGAGTGTAGATCTGTAGAACAGAAGATGCTTAAGCACAGCAACAACTTATGTGTGCAGGCTATAGGGTTGTTTTTAACAGGCCGCAGGTGCTAACAAGCGCTAATAAGCATGTACATAGACAGTAAGGCTGTAGCGTGCAACAACATTAAGTCTACTAGATGTAACTAGTGTAGAGAGAGAGTCTACAAGTTTAAGCGTTTACAGCAGGAGACAAGCACTAAGTAGCAACAGGTTTAAAAAATAATAAATATAGTGTAGGCAGAATGCGCTATATGCTAGGTGCTAGACAACTTAGGGCTAGACAAGTAGCAAACGCATAAGATAATTAAGTGTATAGTATAGGCAAGTGTGCATAGAGTTAACATAGACTATTTTTAAAAGGGTATACGTAATAACAGCATTAAGAATAGTTATTAACGCTGCTTTATTATTTAAAGGTATGCGCTACAGGCAAGGACGTTACAGCAAAGTGTTAATAGCTAAATGTAGTAGTACCGCTAGTACAAGCAGCTGCTGTTGGGGATAGCTAGGCAGTTAGGATTATCTAACAGTGCAGATACTGCAGAAAGCTAGGCAGAGACTAGAGAGAGTATGTAGCGTGGTTAGAAAAGCGGCATAGGTATTAGGTATAGGGCAAGTATTTTAGTAATATGTTTGTAGTAGTAATTAAACTTATTAGGTATAAACTAAAGTAGAATAGCTACTAATGTAACAGCACAGGCAAGACAATAGGTCTGAATGCGGTGGGAATCCACTTAGAGGCATATGGGAGTGCGTGGGGACTTAGAACCTAGGAATGCTATTAACACCTATAGGCCTTGTACAAAAGGACATTAGAAAACTACTAAGCTAGCTACAGGGGCGAGGTGCGACTAAATACATGGAGGAATTAGGGTAACAGCAGGGGGCTGGGCAGAGTCGGGGCTAGGTCGAGGTCGGGGCCGGGTTGAGGTCGGGGCTGATACAAGGGCCTTCTGGAGGCTCCGGGCGACTTGAGATGGAACGATTCATGAAAATCGTTACAACTAATACACTAATTATTTTCTTATATATACTAGCTATGTTTCTACTAATACAAGTTTCTTTAAATCTATGCTAGTAATTATAGTAAATAATAATAAATTATAAGATACTATTAACTAGAGTTTATAAAACTATAATTAACTATAGTAAAGAAGAGGAAAAGAGAGTAAAAGAGAGTAAAAGAAAGTAAAATATAGTAAAAGAAAGAAGATTAGAGCAATCTATAATTATTATAGTAACTAGTAGTAAATAAAACTAAATTATAGTAATTTAGAATACTTTTTAGCACTTTTAAGCAATTTATAGTAGTTTAGAGAAAATTGTAGCAAAGGGTAGCAAAGGGTAGCAAATTAGAGCACGTTGTAGTAAGTTGTAGTAAACTATAGCAATTTGCAACATATTGTAGTAAAGTGCTGTACATTATAGTAAATTATAGCAAATTGCAGCAAGTTGCAGCACATTACAGTAATTTACAGTAGTTTATAGCAAATTATAGTAAAAGATAGTAAAAGAGTAGAAAATATTATACATTAACGTACTTTACAGGCGAGTTGCTCACACACCTAAGTTGCTTACTTTTGCTAAGACTCTACTAAACTACTTTTCCTACACTAATGCATTCCTAATAACACTACTTAGACGCGCTAAAAGAATCTTAGATACAGCTTACACTCTAGGCTTTTAAATAAAATATAAAACTCTTAAAGAAACATGCTACAGCTATGTATAGAGTCTTTTAAAAGACAATAAATAACTACAGCGCTAGACAACCTTTACAAGCTAATTCTACAGCTAACTTACAGAGGCTAGGCAATAATAAGAAGAAGGTGATTATTAAGACTATACTTAAGCTATATGTGTAAGAATTCTTCTTTTAAATAGCATTTATAGCTAATATAGCTAATTCTTTATGCGCTAAGTATAATCTAGGCTATGTTAGCATAAACTAGCCTAGTACATTTATAAAGTGTTATTTAGAGCTTAAAGTAAAGTTTTAAGCATAAGTATAGTTAATTGATATTTAGCCTATAATAAAGCTTATTTTACTAAAGTTATATGTGTTATTATTCTAAATGCTATACTTAGCTTGAATATTCTTTATAAGGCTAAACTTACTCTAAATTACCTTAGAACCCTTATAGAAAGCTCTTATATAGTTGTATTATGCTTAAATGTTACTTTAAGCTCTAGATAACACTTCTTAAATGTACTAGGCTAGTTTATGCTAACATAGCCTAGATTATGCTTAGCGTGTAAAAAATTAGCTATATTAGCTATAAATGCTATCTAAGAGAAACATCCTTATGCATATAGCTTAAGTATAGTCTTAATAATTACTTTTTTCTTATTATTACCTAGCCTTTGTATGTTAGCTATAGAATTAGCTTATAAAAGTTGTCTAGTGCTATAGTTATTTATTATCTTTTATAAGACTCTGTACATAGCTGTAGCATGTTTTTTTAAAAGTTTTATGTCTTATTTAAAAGCTTAGAGTGTAAGCTGTATCTAACATTCTTTTAGTGCGTCTAAGTAGTGTTGTTAGAAATACATTAGTATAGAAAAAGTAGTTTAGTAGAGTCTTAGCAAAAGTAAGCAACTCTAGTGTGTAAGCAACTCGCCTGTAAAGTACGTTACATTAAAACTAGTTGTATATATTAAAAGATATACAAAGATAATAAATTAAACTCAACTATTGTATATTATTACAAACTAAAGAACAT